TTTAGAATCTATATGATACTTAATTTCTAAGTTTCTAAATTATTTCTCACCATCAGAATACGTAACCACTTAGATATATTACTTTCTAAACAAATAATTATATTAGTAAAAAAATATTGTTTAAAATGTTCATCATTAATGAAATTCACCGTCTTTCAATCTTATCTCATTGCTGCTTGTTTGATTTTATTGACAAGACACTTAATCAATTTCACTAAATGATGACTTCTAAATTCGTTCTAATTACTGATTGTAATGTTGAGGTTGCAACAAATGTTGTCTTCTTAAATTCGAACATTGTGCTTTATTATGCTACAATTGTAGAATTCTGTTATTTCTTTTGAGAACGTTGAATCAAAGAACTACTAACTGAAAGAGATAAGGAGAGATGGAAGGAACATTTCGATGAATTACTAAATATCGTGCACTAGGGAGAAGACTAAGCAAATATAAATAGTAAGCAACGGGGGAAGAAGTAGAGCAAAGCTATAGGAAGGATGTAAAATAGCGATGGAAGGGATAGTGATTTTGGCACTTAAAAACGAAAAGTTATTTTTCAAAACTTTTTGGTTCATTGGAAAGAGGACACTCTTATTAAGACTTTGGGAAATTTTCATACTCATATTCCAAGAACTGGATTTTATACGAATTTTTAAAACTTAATCGGCGAAAATTGTAAAATTCGAAAAAATTGTCGATCATTTCAAAAATTTATCTCTTCAGAACTGAAAGTGATTTTTCAAAACGGCTTGTTGCATTAAAAAGAGGACACATTAATTAATAATTGGTGATATTTCCACAAGGATCCTTCTAGAAATGAATTTTATAGCGAATTTTGAAAACTATAGACGAAAATTACAACATCGAAAATTTTATCATATATTGTTTTCTCAAAAACTAAAAGTTATTTTTCAAAACGTATTGGACTATTGGAAAGAGGACGCTTTTATTAACATTTTGGGAAATTTTCATACTCATATTCCAAGAAATCGATTTTATACGGAGTTTTAAAACTTAATCGGCGAAAATTTTAAAATTCGAGAAAATTGTCGATCAATTCAAAAATTTATTTCTCAAGAACTGAAAGTGATTTTTCAAAACGGAAAGAAGACAACATGAATTGACAACTACCTGCTGGGAGGAAGAAGGGATTCCCGAGAAATGGAAGATGGAAACAATCGTATTTACTTATGCAGTAGATAAGATAGGAGACAAATCCATATGTGTTAAGTACAGAGTCATAACCCTCCTCAATGTAGGGTACAAAGTATTATCAAACATAACACACGCAAGAGTAAAAACGTAAGCAGTGACAATACTAGAAGAATACTAGTGTGGCTTCAGAAACAAATTTTCCAAAATAGGCAGAGTTTAGTGCTAACTCTGAGCATAACATAGATTCACTGATTTCAAGAAGGCCTTTGACAGTATTGCTAGAGGAAAACCTAGAGAGCGCTATAAGGTAGGATAGAGGCCAAAACCCACTCCATATTCTAGTGCCAAAGGACAAGGACATACAACCCATTTGACCCTTATGGTTAAATACGATTAAACCAATTTATACTACTTCAACTTGTAATTTCATTGGTGATTTTTACATCATTAGGGGATGGAGTTAATGTTATCAAGTTACTTTGAAAGCTGGACTATGGAGAAGTCTTATACAGGAATTTTTCGAAGTACTTTGTCTATATCTACCATGTATAGTATCTTTATATAACATCTCTAAAGATCTACCTGAGTTACTTAAAGCAGTAAGGACTTTTATTGTAACAACTTAGATGATAGTACCAAAATTTATCTTTCGCCTGGTTAGTTTCGTCTGCAATTCTTAACTCCAATGAGCTCTAATTTTATAATTATCTCAATTTTTTGATTAACAATTCTGTACGAATATATCCCACAACTTCAGGAGTAGCTTTGATAGTCCGATAATTTAATATGCCCTAACTTTAAATGTTCTTTTTCAACCTCAAATAGTTTCAGTTCTTAAATCCTAACCGTTTTGGAGGAAATAATTTTGTTCGTTTACTACATTTCAACAAATAAATTTAAATAATGTTTTAACCTGGAAGCTTATAATTTGATATAACTGATCCACGAATGTGCCTTTATGATCTAAAAAATTTCAATTCTTAAATCTTAATCGTTTCGGAGAAAATACGTTTATTGTATTGCATTTTCAGCGAACGCCAAATTAATTAAGATTTTTAAAAATTTATATAAGATAATGTAGTCACCCTGAAAACTTCTAATTTGGCATACCCTAACGTTAAACTTTCCTAAGTGGCCTCAAAAAGTTTCATTCCTTAAATCCTAACCGTTTTGGAGAAAACATATTTATCTATAATTCCATTTTCTGTAAACGTCAAGTTAAATCGAGGATTTTAAAAAATGTATATAACAAAATGTGGCTACCCTGGAAGCTTATAATTTGGTGTACCCCAACCTTAAACGTTCCTTTGTATCCTCAAAAAGTTGCAATTCTTAAATTCTAACTGTTCTTGTGAAAACCAATTGAAAACTGTCAACAAACACAAATTTAAATTGGAGATTTTAAAAAATATATATAAAATGAATTTTTCACCCTGGAAACTTGATAATTGGTATACCTTAACCTCAAGCGTTCCTTTACAACTTCAACAACTTCTATTTCTTAAATCTTAACCGTTTTTGAGATAACAATTTTTGTCTTTAATTCCATTTTTACAAACGTCAAATTAAATTTGGAGCTTATAATTTTGCACTCTTTTACCTCAAACGTTCCTTTGTAACCTCAAAAAGTTTAATTTCTTATAGCCTAACCGTTTTGGAGAAAGCCATTATATAAAAAATCATTTAAAAAGTGTTAAATATTTGTTGTTTTGGAAAAAACAATTTGGTCTCATTTTTTTGTCAATTTGCAGGATGTTCCGACTTTCTCCATTAGTACGAGAATGTTATTTAAAGAGAAATTATGTATCTAATTATTTATATTAGTTATCTGCATAATACACGAGTTTTCTACTTTAAAATCGAGACAATCTTTGTTTATTAATTATTAAAGTATATATTAAAAATTCATAATTGTAAAGTTCGTTCTTGTTAGAGACGGTTGAGTTGGGTTGAGTTGGTCCAAAATTCATTTAAATAATTTTTAATTAAAATCCTCGAATTTGCTCCGCAATCATCTTGTTGAAATTATAACTTAGCCGATTTTCGTTTTCATCATCGACACCCTTAAAATTGATAATTAATCCAATAATATCAGAAATTCACATTATTATAGGCACATTATCGCATTTTCTAGGATAATTTAATTTAAGGTACAAACTACTTTCCTACTTTTGTGGTTTTATCGTATGCGTTTGTGGTTATTTAAAAAAATTGCCGTATTCAATTATTTGAGATCAAACCTATTCAATCGGAAAATTAGATTGCAATTTAGATCGTTCATTACAATTTACGAATGAAATAGTTTTCTTTCTTAACATCATTCTTGCTGTACAGTTTCATTTAAGTAACCACAAAATTGTATTTGATATGAGATCACATTATTGAATTGATTGATTTGGTGTTTTGGTTTAAATTGATATTAGTAAATTACGTAATGAAAGAAATGTAATACGTGTTTATTGACGAATTAAATAAGTAATAGTAAAACTCGTAAAAATTTGACCCCGAACGCTCTTTGATATTGGAAAAACGATCGCTTTGGGAGCTTGTTGCAACCGGGGCAATATCCTTTAATGGCCCGGGTAAAGTACTAACTCTACCAGAGATAACCGCAACATGTTCCTTAGAAAACCACCAACGTATTAACTATTAATGAACGTGAAGGTACTTTCAATAAAAAACACTTTTTTCACTGACATTTTTTCTATGTGGGAATTTTGTTGTAAACATTACAAAAAGGAAACTTCTTACGTGTTGAGATAAACTCGTAACGAGAAGAATAAAGAAAACGACGTGGAGGCGTCCTTTTTGAGCTGCAAAAGGTGAACGAACGGTTGTGCTTTCAAACTGTTACCTTTACGATTTCTAATCCTCTTCACGACAAGTACTACAAGCTTACGAAACCCAATCTAAAAACCTTAAATGAACGAGAACTTTAAAAGTTTTATAATAAAAATAATTATTTATTAAAATCTCGTATTATAATATAATGATATTGCAAAATCCACTTTATCGAAATTGAACTTGAGTTGTTTATTACGAGATATGCAAATTGTTTTGAAAACTAGTTTTCCCTTCTAGTTCTCTCTTTAAACCGAGTTGCTGTACAAACATTTAGAGCGTGACATCCGGGGTGTTATTGAAACAGATTTATCAAAACAATAGAGAAATAAACATTCCACCATGGTCCACAAACACGTATTCAACGCCGAAGGGAATTTCGTAAGATAGGATATATGTACTCAAATCAAGTTTGTACTCAGAGTGAATTTAATTCGTATACGAATTTAATTTACATAAATCCAATCTACTTAAAGCTTTCGATGCAATAGAATCTAAATAGGGATGTACGTTATTTATTGAATAAATCGTTTAAAATTAAATTTTAAAAAACATTTTTTTTATAATCCTTTTTTATTTCCAAACATTTTTTTGGTTAGTTACTTAAAACGGGAAGAAACGTCTTTCATGGGGTCTAAACTCGGGAGATTTCTGAGTAGGGAAATAATATAAATGCAAAGTAGATTTCCCAGCTTTCGTGGGTGTAGAAGAAAACGCTACGAAGTCACCCGTTTCTTTCCCGATATAACCAAGAAAAATTTTTCCATTTAATGTGAAAAGTAATTTTGCACCTCATTTAAACCGCTCGGCGTTTTGCTTGTCTCGGCAGCAGGAATTTTGATTAACTTGAAGCTTGTCGACTGTAATATTTTTCTACGCTTCAGGCTGTATTACGTTTTTCATCTCTCAATTTCTTCTCAATTACTACCTTATAAAATAGATGTTTATTTATCATTATTTGTGGTTTAAAAACTAATTTGTGACTTATTTATTTTTTTTTCTAGGTGGATTTGGGGATGATAGAGGATATTTTGGATTATGGACTATTTGTAAAGCTTTAGCATACAGCAGGGAGAGATGTGGAAAGGATTATTCGAAATTTCGTCCAACAGGTAAATACATTTTTGGTTTTTGTTTCGCTCATAAAAAGCACGAATTCTGTTCAAAACGTAATTTTTGGGTTTAAAATAAAATAGACCGTAGATGATGATAAAATATACTCCCAAAAAAAGTAATAATCAAACATTCTAGAGCGTGATTTAAAATTCGTCCAATTTTTCCAATAATCTTTTTTATTTATGACTCGATTCTATTTTTTGAGCTCAATTTTCAATATTCCAAAACAAAAGGCATAGCTTTTTTATAACAACAAAAAAATAAATAATTTTATTATATCATTCATTCATTTCATTGATAAAAAAAATATATAATATAATCAGAGGAAGTTTAGGATTACAGAAAAATAATATTAATTGTACGATGTGGTCAATAACAATATTGATTGCGCAATATTCACCGTATAACCTAGTAGCAACAAAACGCAATAAGATTTACAAACAATATCTAGAAAATCGTCTGTAACTTGTTATTTGTTAGCGTAAAAGACGCTCAGATGAATCACCTCGAGTTCGTGGAAGATGCTACTGATTAATTATACCTATATTCGTTGAATATAATCGAACTTCAAATATAAGATCGATTTCAAAAGGTTCTCTTTTCCATACCCGTTTAAGTAGGTACAAGTACTTAAATTAACTGATAGAATTATTGATTAGAGGCTAACAATGTACAGATTGTTAAATAATTATCGTACCCGACGTCATCATTGCAAATATGCAACCAACATCACAGTGCAATACGCATCATACGCAAATCGCGTATTGCAATACCAATGCTGTGATATTGGTTGCATACTTATAACGATGATGCCGGGTACGATAATTAATTAACGCTCTGTACATGTTATCAATGTGGTATATTTGATATTGATTTATTGATCAGCTTATCCTCTTAGTTGGATAGTTTCTGAATGTATTATGCCAGAAAACAGCCATGTTCATACACATGATAACTATCCTTGCACGGCTCGTTGCACTTCAAGCATCATATCAATGCTTTCAGAAAATATTACACTTAGGTTCAAATCCAAAGTACCAAAGAAGTTGCCGTTTACGTTTCTGATGTATCTGGTACCGATGCTCTATATTTAGGGTGTCTAAACGACGAGGAAGCATTGAAAGCAACTGCTCTACATCATCTTTAGTATATTTACAATCTGTATTTTTCCGCGTAATTAAAAATGGCAATTTTTATCAATCTGATGATCATAGCACAACACAGGCACGATTTGACAGCCTTGGGAACTTCATCAAAATCTTCATTTTCATCTGCTAATATTAAACGTACTTCAGCGAATACCTATATCAGATGGCGAATACAAACATGGAGTTGCGAATGACTTGTACCTTATCAGAACTTTCATACCGTTAACGTGCATTGAATACAACGTTGTTATAGCCAAAGTGATTGAGATTCATTCAGCATAATTTTTGATTTGAAGAACCTCTAATTGACCTTATAAGTAATGCCAAAAATAATCTACAAAAGAATAATACAAACATAAATTCCATCTTAATTAGAATGTTGAGAATTTTCTAGTAAATAAACAAAGTAGGTAATCAGATTTCTAAAATAGGTAACAAACTTACGCCTGACCTGTATTTCGGTTTGGTGGATTCGGAAATGGATTCCAAATTAGAATCCATTGATGTCTTACTTAGAAAATATAGGCAGTCTGATTTATTTTCATTTTTAGTCATCTTCTTTCGAGAATCTCGCTATCCACAGTCTCTTGTACGGTCACCACAAACAACCAATTGTATACAAATAAAATTACAGTTCACAATAATAATAATGAATTAATATTAATGGTACAAAAGTGAATCAAAAGGAAAAAAGTAAAACTAAGTCTAGGTGATATAAATATATCATATATCAAAGATCAAATGAACACTCGATGTAACATACCAATTGCAGCAAAGAGCAGTTTTTTAAATGCATAGAAAGAATTCTGAAACAGATCTATGTTAACACGATTTGCTGATCTGACAGGCATTGGCTCTAGGAGTAGGTGTCATAAATAGAAAGTCAAAAAAAAGTACGAAAAGAAGTGCAAGTTGATTCGTAATCAATATATTGAACGGAAAATTTAAAACAAAGGTATTTGAGGAATTCATCACGTTTTGTTACTATTCTATATCATTATTCCTTTTTGTTAAAAACTTCGGTGCAAAACCTATCTTGGGCGCTTCTAACATTTTGGAATCTCAGACATATATACGTAAAGGTATGGTCTTAGTCCTCATTATCCTCATCTGAGTGAGACTAACTCAAAAATATTTTAATTCTTTACTCCAGTAATATGCCTCATGTCCACCAAAGTCCAATCACATTCATGGAAGTTTTGGCAATGTAGTCAAAAAACTATCTTTTTCTGCGGGAGTCTCAAACGACTTATATCTGGCCATACGGGATTGTTTTGGTGTCGTATGTCGTTATAGAAATTATAGTTATTCAAAGAACAGAATATTGTGGTTGACACATTATAATTTGATGCATCAACAGGGCTTGTAGCACAGCTCTTTATCCTCTGGTCATAAGCATCAACTCTCCATAAGACGAAATGTTATTTTGCCACTCTTCTTATATCCCGATTTTAAATAATATCGTACCAGAGAATAAAAGTAGCCACTCTGTTATTCATAAATAAGCATTAGCAATAAAAAATGCCACTACATTTTAAAACCGTTTTAATAAAAATGATAGAATTGTAAGTTGTAAAAAATCCATGCATTTAAATTCAAGAATTTCTGCTGATTCGGTGAAGAAATGGGAAGCTCTATCTATGGTAATGTGTTGGTACGTTTATTTAAGCTACGAAATCAAGTCTTGTTGTTTCCTTAATTTGAATTGTAATCAAGATGACAAGTGCTTACAACATACCTTGCTGACATCTTTTCGGGTCACAATAAATTGAATATTTCACTTAAATTAATCTCTGTGACAGTACTTTCACTTTATGACAAAATGAAAGATTAGTTAAGATGAAATTTCACTCCATGATTTTGTGTCCGAATTACAGATTCTGGATCCGATATCGGATATAAACCTAAATAGGGGTTCTTAAGAAAAATGATAAACATATACATTCATAATTGTGCCCAACGTCAATTTAGAGCTTTTTCATTTGCAATTTCAACGTGTATACTTCTTTAAATTATGTGTTAATAACAGTATTTGTTGTATATTAATTAATTATGTGATCTACTCTATCTGTACATAATAATTCAAATACAAAAAAAAAGAAAAAAACAAAAAGCATAGTTTTTCAATAAACCCTATAAGTAAATATTCTAAGCTAGAATTCAATTGTGATCCACTGAAAGTCATGAATAATGGATATATGTAGGAATACAAACCGGTTTATTGAAAAACGGTTCACAGAGATTGAGCTTTCAAGGTCTACGATCGAAGCTTTTACGAAAACCTTTCACTTAGCCCGGTTTATTTTTATTTTCACAACACTTTTTATGAATATCTAACACTTTTCATTTTTCTTTTCAGTTGTTGTATGGATCGCCGGAGTCGTCGGAGCAATTTCCGTGGCAATTTTAGGAGGGTTTTGCATCTTAAGCATCATACAAATGGCGATGTTACAATCGAAAGAACGTGTCGTTATGAAATACAGCGTTTTGGTTATTTTAAAATTGGCTACAAGTCTTTTAGCGAGTAAGTTCAAAAAAGAAAGTAAATTAACAAAGGGAAAAGGAAGGAAGGGAATGTTGATTTTGATGATAAATAAGTATTGTCAGGGACATTGTGAAAGATTGTTTTTGGAGGACATTCGTTTCTCTAAAGATCGTTTAAACGATGGACAAAGAGAAATTTATCCTAGGCACGTTTCAGACGGAAATTGGAAACGGAAGCCCTGTTCCGCCAAAAGGAAATTGTGTTCGGTCTATAATTCGTCGTCCATCTCCCATTTCTGTCTCGTTGCACTGAATTGAGCGAAAAAGTGCACAACTTCAAAGGAATATTTTTAAAATATAGAAACGTTTTGTAATTAAACAAAATTAATTTTAGTAATTTGCTTCCGCTATTTATACACTGGTGATTAGTTGAACAACACAACATGAAATTGACGCGATCACAGTTTGCTTTTAAGGATTAATTAGATAATGGATGAAAACGTAACCCTAACCCACATACATTCGCGTTCTATTTCTGTTTCTATTTTTGTTTGTTCATTAAAATAATTAAACTAACTATTTCCAGCTTTACTATCGGTAGCCACAGCCGGATTATTTGCTTTACAAACCGATGAAAATAATACTGGGGGATTTCGTGTAACAAGAGGACCAGGATTTTACGTACAAGTAAATATTGATTCAACCCACTCTAAATTTTATTACTAAATAACATTTTTTGTAGATAATGTTCATAGTTTTAAACGCAATTTTATTCGTAATGTCGCTTTATGATTTAATCTTTTCGAGAAAACCTGGGGGAGATCCCACAAAAGAAGGAATCACTCCAACTGGAGGTGGTACATTAGAAAATCCAGGATTTATTGATTCTACTAGACCAAGACGTAATAAAATAACGCCTATCATAAAAGCAATTTAATTTTTTTTTTAATTTATAGATGGAGATATTTCTATGACTGATGCAAGTGGAAAACCATACGGTTCAATAACAAACGGAAGTATGAATTCAGTGAATACAACCTCGACGACTTTAGGTTCTAATGGATCTTCGTTTACGTTACCGAAAGCTCCAGCGAGATCAAGCTTAAAGAAAAAACCAGCAACGACTACCGATGGTTTAGGAATACAAAATCCGGGTTATTCTGGGTCGTCGCCCACTTTCAATAGAAATGGAAGTATGAAAAAAGTCAGGATTCAAACTCACAGTACAGATGTGTAAATAAAAAGATTATTTATAAATTGTTGAGACAATTTCTTTTGAAACAAATCCGTCCGAAAATAACTGTGTTAAAAACAAGTTTCGTTAAAAAAATTGTTTTGTAATATTTTTGTAAGAGTTGCTTTTTTTATATATATTTTATTACATTGAAGATGTAGTTGCAATAATATACATTAAGGTTTTGATAGTTATATTTTCTTTTTAATTTATTGTGTTGTTATTTCGTGTGGATCTACTTAATTATTATTTTATGGAAATTGTGTAAAATGGCAACTATTTTTTTAAATTTTTTTTTATAGTAAACTGTAAAAAGCTGTATATAAAAATTCATCTTGATAAAATTGTAATGATGATGAAAAATTGTAGATTATTATTAATAAAGAAGTACTATGTACATAACATTAATAATTAATTATTTTAGAAATAAAATTTATATTGCGGTAAATTTGTAAATATTCGTAAGTCGAATCGATAATTAATTATTTTTTAAATAAAGTTTTAATCGATAATAATATAAAAATTATATTTTTTTGTGATAGAAAAAATTACTTTTATTCTTTGATATTAAAATTCAATTTGGGATTATAATAAAAATATGAAGCAATATTTTACTTTAAATTTTAATCCTTTCAAAACAATTTTTAAGAAGTTTTTTAATTCTCTATTAAAAGTTACTCTAAAATTTCTGCGATAATAATTTCATTCTATTGATAATCTTCTTCAGACATTTCAATCTTATAGACGTGAAAAATAACTTTAATTTAACTGACCTTTATCTCTTTTCAAATAACTTTGGAAATTATCTATATTTATTTTATCAATCATTTTATTAATTAGTGTAATTTAATTGCTATAAAACTAGGTCATGTAATATTTTGGGTTCTAGAAGTGATTATATATGCGTTTTGTGTCTTTTAGAATATAAGCTCACCTATTTCAAAATGGCTTATAATGAATACGGGAACAGTTTTGAGAATGAACTTTTCATTTTGAAATATTTTAATAACAACAGAAAGAATCTGTCAAACTCTATTACTCTACATTACTCTATACATTTTCTAGGCATTACTATTAAGAAAAAACTTAATATACAGAAATTAGAATTCGCTTGCATCAACCGCTTGCATCAAGTTTCTCCAGCTGACAACTTAAAATACTGTGTCACATTTTACATCAGGCTCCTTTTCTTTACTTTACTTAGACAAAACAGCTATTAGATGATTAGATACTAAAATCTAGACACAGTTTATTAACTATGTCTATGCAAAAAACTGGAAATTGCTTGAAGATGACTAAATTTTGCTTGAAGAATAGTGGGTATTAATTGAAGAATACTGGATATTACTGAAAGAATATTAAATACTGGTGACAACAGATTAAATACTGCTGCCAGAAGATAGATACAGCTAATGTATGACTAAATATTGCTTGCAGAAAGGTATATAATGTTAATAATGGACGACTTAATAGGTTACCAGTTTCAAATTTTGTGGTACTTCCTAACGCTGGAATGCTAGAACCTCTCATTGTACTCGACCAAACTGTACGGGAAGTATGGTTATTTTACCTTTAAAATCATCAGATCGCTACCACACAAACATTTCTGTAACATAGCGTACTTTACCCACAAAGCATGTAATCTGCAACCGGATCAATCTTGGATACTAAGCTTGCAAAACTCTCAACGCCTGACATATCAAGCAAAAAGCCCGCCACTAACCCACTTTTCCAAAGCCTTCTTTGTAAAATACATAAATATCACTAGAGTAGTATAAGCACAGTAGTATTACCCGTTTTAGCCGCTTGCTTGAAGTTCTTTACTATGGCATTTAGAGCATTGGGCAAAAATTACATTGCTTCTAAACCCAATTCACCATTCCTTACTAATTCTATTTTAAATTTGATTGGACGTAAGATTTGATTAGTAAGATCACAATACCTTTTATTGTTGCTAACTCCAAATTGCTCCTATACTATTTGCTGTACGACTTGGGTTGGTTGCAGTAATGTTGTAAACACCAATTCTAAAACAAATGTTAATGAAAATGGTAACATCTAAAAAGCAAGGAAAATAAGCAGACGTAGCATATACAAGCTTCAAGTAGAAGCTATGCAAGCTTCAAATACAAGCAACCTATCCACTCTCAAGAAGATATTTTTGCACAAGAACAACTTTGTGGAGACACATGTGGAGATTGTAATAATGTATATGTTGGTTAAACAGGTCATAATCTAACAATAGATATTTCATTCTGATCAGAGATTTCTGGCCACACATACATATAAGAGACAAATCACATGAACCTGACATATACAAGAAAATCTTTATAAATCACGGAACTACGCTGATTAATGAAATTGCGTCTTTAAACAAACAAGGCAATTTCTTACTTTTATTGTATGCGTTTTCTTCCTATTTAGTGCGGTTTTGAATCTGATCTCACTCAAATCTCTCTCTCTCTCTCTCTCTCTGGTCATTTAAGCAAAAAAAGAAGAGATTCCGTGAGGTTAATATACAATACTTTAATCGGAGATCATTTATATTAGAACATTGGCAAATTAAGTACTAAATATCTCAGAAAGTGTTTCATCTTGTATTGATCTGATATTTTTTTCTTCTGACATTTACTACATAGAGCACAAGTATATTGCAATGTTATCAGATAAAGCGTCTAAAGCTGACCACTTGTTTGTTAATATGATATTGATTCCAGAGTCTTGGAGAAATCACATCCATTTCGGATTCTAGTCCACGACATAAGTGAATAACACCTTAATAGGAAATCATTTCTATTAGATGATCACTTGTATGTCAATATGATACTGACAGTTTCTAATTTAAGTAAAACCTTCCTGTATTCCACTATTTTTTGTATATTTACTGAGGATCATCACAATCAGCGCAGATTAGTTTTAATCTCTTGTTAATCAGCATCACATAAATTCTCTTTAGAAGAATTCATGATGCATAATTTTTCCATTACACACAAAAGGTGTATTTTTCATTACCGCCTCTAATCTGACGAAAATGTTTCTTGCTATTTGCCATCTTTGCAGAATAAACATTTCTACCATAATAACAACTTTTATTTTTGATTTTTGGCTACAAGTAGTATCTAACCTGATCGACATTATACATTCAGGATATTCATAAATTGGAAATTGACAATTTAAACGCAGCAATTTGTGAAATACTATTAGGGCTATGATAGTTCCAAATGCGAACTATTAACTCTACATAATCTAGGTTCTGCGACTAAAACTTTTATTTTGTTAACCTCTATTAGCAATGTGCGATATAGATTACTGCTTCCTAGTCACTGCTACGAAATAGTCTTCTGCAAGCAGATTTAGTCTTCTATTAGCAGTCTCTAGTCTTTTATTAATAATGTCTAGTTTGATGTTACTGTGGGTAAACATCTACAAGGACGACTTAAGATCCAATAACAGTATCTAGTACCTTTTGTGCGGATATTTTATCTTCTGCAAACAGTATTGAGTCTTCCATTGGTCTTCATTAATAGTATATAATGTTCTGTCAGCAGATTATCGTCCTCTGCAAGTAGCATCTAATCTTCTAGCAGCAGTAAGTATCATGACTTCTGCAAGCATCATCTTGTTTTTCGGTAGTAGTATCCAATTATCTATTAGTAGTATCTAGATCTCCATGAGCAGTATCTAGTCCTCTGCCAGCAGTATTTATTGCTCTGGAAACAGTATCTAGTCTTGTATTAGAAGTTTAACTGATTTGAACGTTATATCTGTTACTTGGCCTCCTTATATCTCTACCTGTCCTGGATTGTAGCGGTTGTAAACATACATATTAAAAAGAAGTGTCCAGCCTCCTTGAACGATTTGCAATATCTATGCTGATTTTATTCGCAAGTATTCTGAATAAAAGACAAAATTCTTTGATAAATTTCATCTTAAATTTACTTTGGAATAATTTCGATGTAACATGACCCAATATATTCTATTTGGATTTCAATTTCTTCTCCCCTCTTTTTATCATATAACACACTTCATTGCATCAATCTTTTAGCTTACAAACCCCAATCTTATCTCTTAACGGTTGGTCGACTTGTAATGTGTTACGATTTATGAAAAAAATTCAACTATGTCGTTATGTAGAAGAAAAGAAAACAGGAAGTGGGAAAGAGGATTAAAATAATTCAGTTTTTAAACAATAATATCATTTAATAACTTAAATAAAATCGTATTTTACAAACAAGAAGAAAAAAATTAGTGGTAACCTCATCGTTTTCAACAAAAAAAGAACGCTAACGTCTCCAACAGTATCTAAAAAAATAACTCCATTTCCTTCATAGCTTTTTTTTTCAAAATCTTTAAATCCAGCTTAGATATTTATATACAAATTACAATCAACAAAAACACCTATACAATTATAGCAACAATCTCTTTCAATCCTCGATGTTGTCTTTGAACACATTTTAAATTCACTTCGATGGGACACTTGAAATCAGTTCTCTCCTTTTATAAATCCCCGTTTGTGTTTTTTCAGCTGATCCACCCCCACTGTGAGAAGCAGCAGCTGCATCTAAAGCTTCAGCATCAGGAATATGACGCGTTTGATGCCTGGAATCTGTATACCTCCTTTTTGTGTACCTTTTTTTCTCCGTAATTTTTTGTGTGGTTACGGTCGTCGTTTTAACATCAGATTTTGCGATTCGTTCAAAATCTGCAGTTTTTGACCTTAACACCGCGTTCCCAATACTTGTAATGCTCGGAGAAAATTTCCTTGCGTCTTTCTCTGGTTGCTTTTCACTGGTAAAAGCAGGAGAGCTAACGCTTTTCGGAATATCACCACCTTTTTGTGGTTTAATATCAATATTTTTTGCTTTTTGAACTTGTTGAAGTTCCGAAGTGGAGGTTAATGTTACTTTTTGTAAAACGGGAGCTTCTTTTAAAGTAACTCCCGTTTTTTGTATTGGAATAATTCGTACTGTTTTGCCGGGAATATCATCTGGGATATAATTAACTGATGTACATTGACTGTCTGGGGATGTAGGTGGTGATGATGCCCAAGATGGTGGTGAGCTTAACGCTCCGGGATCTGCGATGCTGCTTGTTGAGGATGGTGTGGTGTTGTGTGGAGGTGAACTAAATGTGGTGGCTGAAGAACCGACTGCTGAATCATATCCTTGTTGACCTAACGAAATTGAGCCCGTAATAGGTTGGATATTAGAAGCGATTGAAGAATCACTTCCACTAATCGATCGTTGTCTTCTTCTTGGTGGTGGCTGAGGTGATCTTAAAATTCCTTGCGGAATTTGTTGCCTTCCATCTGAATAAATTTGAGTTCCGTCCTCAATGTAAGGAATATCATCATCCACGCTTAAAGAAAGTGATTGATTCCCAGTTTGAACCGGAATTGTTAAACTCGCGGTAATAACTCCACTACTATCCAAAGAATAAGGCGAAGATTTTCTTCTATCGATATTCTGATTATCATCCAACCGTAAAACTCTTGTCACTTCATGTCCATCACCCTGAGAACTTTCTAAAGACGAAGATCTTCCTTTTATTTTAGCCTCATCTTCACGTCTTCTTCGAACTGCTGATTCATCTCGTTTTTTCTTCGACGATCTCTCCCGGTATTTATCTCTTTGTCGTATTCTCATTCCCATATTTGGACCACCCGTAGCCGCTGATTCGTGAAGAAACTCTTCTCTTGAATACATTTTTCTTGGTTCTTGATAATCATCGTGCTGATTTTGAATCGTATGATCAGAATGATCAGAATTTAAAGCTCCGATGGTCCAAGAAGCTGAAATGCTTTCACTATCTAAGTCATCTAACGACTCTTCAGCACCACCACTTGCTTCTTTTTTAACCAACAATTGATCAAGAGCTTCTGGATGCGAATCCATCATGTGAACGTAAACTTCGTCTAATAACTCGGCAGGTACATTGAAAAGTTCTTTGTTGTAATCGATTAAGGTTCTTATTACGTTTATAACGTCCATTCGATCTTCCGGTCTATCACCAGTTCCTTCTTTTGCTCCCGGTTTGATACAATGAAGGATGTTTGGTGCGAAAACTGTTGCTAAATTGTTTGCGTCCATTTTATTTCCAGAAACTTCTTCACCTGTTATTAAAAAAGTCATTTAAAAAGATCTTTTATTTTTGAGTTTAATATTACCTAAAGCATTTTTGTAATCAGAAGCATGTTTGGCGACTGTTGATAAAAAATTTAATAAAGCAAAAAGAGTGTCTCTATTCGACGGTGGTAATAATTGGATTAAATGTTGTAGTGCCTCAAATTGTAATCTTCTATTTCGTATTTCTACAAAAAATAAATACATCATTAATTTTTAATTAATTATAAAATTTTATTGAATGTGCTTACTTTGTGTATGAACGAAAGCGTGATATAAATCCCTACAAAGTAAAGGATCGGGTAACTCTCTAAGATACTCTTTAATTAAGGTGGCGACATCGTGAGGACATTGATCTTTATCCAAAGTGGTTTCTTTTCCTGTATCAAAATCTTCGCGAAGCTAAAATAAACGTTACATAACTTAGTTGGATGATTCAAAGTGATGATTAAACATTTTACCTGTCGAATTCTTTTTTTAGAAGTGCTAACCCTAAAAATGCCCAAAGTGCTCAACCCGTGAGCCTCCAGATGCTTGATGCAAGTGTTTAGGATGTTTGGCACAGCTGGTTCCTCTTCAGACCCAGCTGCCGCTATATCAGTCGCCGAACTACAAGATAATTTATCTAAAAGTCCAGGAACGCTTCCGACGATTCTTTCCCTGCTCATTAAATTTTCAAATGAGCCCCTCTGAAAATAAATTAAAAAAGAATGAAATAAATAAATTTAAATAGATACTTAAAAACACATTTTAAGAAAATAAATTTTTGTATCTTTTATGAGTAACACTGATGACCCAAACGTAGGAATCGAAGAAATGGGGGGAAAGGGAGAGAGAGGTTGCTAAAATTTCCCAGTGTGGCCTAGAAAACGCAACCGTAGTTCCGTTTCAGTCTCGTCTGAAACGTTGAACGTCATCGCGTTGAGTTGCATCACCGTATTGACGTCAGGACTGGTTTAGTTGGCAACTAGTTCGTTTTCACGCCGTGTCCATCATACGGGACAATCTATTGCCTAATAGATCTCTCTCGCTCTACCCCGGATAAACTTCGTGACAGGAGAATTTATAGACGGGTATTTAAAATTTTGATCAGGAAGAGTGACGGAAAGTTTATTTTTAGTCATCCAAGTTAAAATAGTTAAATTAAAAATTAAGGTCAAAGAATTTTTAGAAAATGTTAAGAAATCGTTAATTGTAAAAACCGAAAACATAAATTGTGTATATAGTTCACTTCAAGGTTTTGACGTCATTTGGTTCGATTTTAAGACCTGGTTGTATGTAAAATCAGTTAGTTTCGGTTTAAATAAGTAAATTAAATCGTTCAAAACACAATTTGGATTGAATTTCCTAATTATTTTGTAACTTCAACTTCAAGTATATACATGAACTAGATTTTTTATTAAAATCGCATTGAGTTTGCTCAATTTTACGGGATTCTAATCGTATTTTTTCAGGTTTTGTTATACATTAAATTCATAATATATTTGTTATAGCATGATATACTTTTTAAAGTTAAGGTTCTTTTATTTTCAAAATCGTGGAAAGAAACCTACAGATTCTTTTATACATGAAAACCTTATATGGATCATGTATCCACATTAGAAAAGTTCAAAGACCTCAAACAATGAATCAAATAACAAATAATGAAAAAAATAACAATTATTTTATGTAATAATGAACTTTAGAAAAGATGCTGTTTATTGCAGAAACATGTTAACTAATATGATGTGAGACGTCAATTCAAAAAGGATTGTTTATATATATGGTTTCTTCCAAAACATTTCTTCCAAACTACATGTACTTGAATTACATTTCGTTGAAAATAGGGTGGTGTTGCAAATTCATAATTTATGTTTAAATTTGCATTGTCAGAAAGATTTAAATTACGTCTTTGAAATCTCACATGACTATTGCAAAGTTAGCTGAACTTTTATCTTCCTCTTTCGACTATAAATCACTCTGTTCCAGTCTGTAGTAACCGGAAAATCAATATACCTAAGAACCATTTCAAGTCATTTATAAAATTGGAATATTCAAGAAATATTTGAAATAGTGTTTCAGATATTTGCTTCTTATTAAATTTAACCAATTTAGCCAGACAAGATATTATGTCTTTGTATGTCTTCATATTACTATTTATCAACTATTGAATAAAAGGATCTGCTGATCTGTAGAATTCTTTATTCGAGTTAAATTGTATTCTTCCGACTGAAAACCTCTCTAATACTATAAGCTTTAACCTGCTTTCGTTCATCCTCTTCACATGATCGTACCATTATCTTCTTCCTGATCTCTCCCATCTTATCACACCTAGCATACCACATCATTCCTTGATTTTGACATTTCTAACACAGTCTGTTCTAGTGCTACCCAGAATAGTTAGTAAAGTTTTCACTTTGGGAACTCTTGGCATATTCTTAATTAGCAGACCTTATACAAGTTTTATAAATTCTTGCCTTAGTGTCCATTTGCATGTATTGATTTGATCAAACGATCCCTCATAACCATCTTATTGATCTGGTTTTTTAAGTATTTTAAGTCATGACTACTGAGGATATCTAGTTCAAGGTGTTTGAACTGACTCACTTATTCGATGGGCTTGTTTTCCATCACAAATTTGTATCTAATTGGTTTTATAATCGATGGATATAGTTAATTATAGTTAAATTTAAAGAGTTGTCTTTGTTGATCTTTTTCTGTTCATATCATGGTTGCTGCATCGTCTGCATAGCATGTCATACTGATTTGTTCATTCTACAGTCCAAATTAAAAGACGACACCTCCTATATTTATATTTCTGTATAATTTTGTTCATTAACGAGTTAAATATGAATGCGCTTAAGCTGTCTCCTTGCCTACTACAGCCTAGTGTCGAAATGTTAGTGCGCTTGTTTTAATCTTTGTCATATTACTTGTGTTTAAGTTCGGGCTACTTTTACAAAGTTGGATGAGGTGTCTTTCTCAATTAATAATGTCAGAATATCTTCTCAGCTCGAAGTTCTTCTCCATATCTTCTCCATATCAACAAAGCAAATATAAAGGGGTTTGTTAAATTCTATTGACAGTTTAATAGTTTATTGATAGTTTGGCAGTTTGATAATAAATAAAGAGTCTGTTATTAGGTTTTGTCACGTTTGTTGCCAAGAAGTACGCATCACACCCAATCCTCTGTTCATAGATGTCTTCCAATTTACAATCTGCATCCATAGACAATTTGTTCACATGTTGCACCCCGAAACTGATATAATAGGAGTAAATAACTGCATATAGGCATTACACAAAATTTACCACCATCTTTACATTGTTACATTATCATCATATGCATATTTTCTGCCAAGATAATGGTGAAACAGTAATTTTTGCAAAAACACTTTTCCTGGATCTCTTGGAGTTCGTTACTCTTACTATTGTTTAAAGCGATGAAGCGTCTATGTATACAATCAAATTTTATGTAATTGCAATTATTCATCTTTTATTAGTTCTTTTATCTGCAACGTCTAACCTTCTCTATGGTGGAATAACCCTTCCATTGATAGTATCGTCTTTCGGTAACAGTATCTAGTTTTCGGCCAGTAATATCTAGCTTTCTATAAACGGTGTGTAAAATGGTAGTATTTAGCCTTCTGATAACAGCATGTAGTCTTCCGGAAGTAGTAATTAGTTGTTTGTTAGCAATATATATTCTTCTACAAGCAGTATATACTTCTCCATTAGCAGTATTTAGTGCACTGCGAACTGTATGCAATCTTATATTAGCATTGATCTTCTACCAGTAGGTTGTAGTAATCGATTTTACATATTTAGTCTTTTAGTCTTCTGCAAACAATATATACTTTTTCTCCAGCAGTATATAGTTTTCTGTTAGTAGTATCTAACCTTCTACCAACACTATCTAGTCTTCTGGCAGTAGTATGTATACATCAATTAATAGTATCTAGTCTTTTGACCCTCTAGATTTTGATATGGTGTATGTTATGGATCAAATCAAAAATTGAATAAGATGTAACTGCGACACAGATAATTTAGTATATATGTGGTCGTATGATTAAGACTACCTCCAAATGAATCTGAAATTTAATGTTACTGCAAACACCAGAAACATTATTTGGTACTTCCTAACGCTTTGTTTGAACACCTACTTTGAATAATTACGTTATGTCTAACGTGAAGTTATTAATTAAAAACGGTTTTATTCTCTCAAGAACATTTTCTCAGTTTTTTATAAGGATACAAAAACATTCTTAGGCATATATTATTCTATATGCATGTTTTACGATAACTTTATGAGCGATAAGAAACTTTATGAGGATCCTTTCTATACGCCACGTAGCCACATAATTTCGATCCACCATTAACTAATCCCCAAAAGATATCACATAATTCTCAAACAGTGTAAATCGTCAACTCTATCGCGATTGTATATTTAATGAGTATAAAATATTAAAACTGGATATATTAAATTTGAGATGTAATTTTTGATTGATGGTAGATTCTGGTTAATAAGTGCTTTTTCTGATATGTGCAAATGGATTCTTTGTTGGATGTATGAATACAAATGATTCTTAAACGCATACATTTTATAACGAAACTGTTTTGACAATTTTCATTATTAAAGGTTCCAGAGTAACTCCTTGGGTACTAAAAGCTTAATTAAGCTCTTCGCCTTAAATACACGCCTACATTGTTCATTATACGATCCACTATTATGTATTTTATAAGCAACATTGGTTAAAAATCAAATTAGGCCTTTTCACGAACACCACAATTTCCAAAGACAACTGGAAAATTTGTATAATTATTAATTTTAATAATTTTCTTTGTGTTTTGTTATAATTAAATTCTTTCATGATGATGGCACTAAGTTACCATAGCTGTTGCCTACGGAGTTCACGATAAGGCATTAATCATATCTTGCGGAACGTTGTTGAGGTTTCTCTTAGGTATTCACGCCAGAATTGGTTTTGTTTCCCCTCAGAGACACCGTGATGTCATTAAGTCCACTCTCGATAAATGGGTTGGTGGCGTGAAAATAACTTTCATAGTGTTAATGAATAATTCCTATCTAAACACACAAGTGTTGAATAAAAAAAAATTAAACTATAGGTATATTTTGTGATGCAAAATTTTGAATTTATTGGAATGTAATATAAATTTAATCTGTGCGCATAAACCTAATATGTTTTAACTCCCATAGATCAAATTTTTTTGTTCGATAATATTTTTAAAGGAAAACATTAAATTGTTTACTACTTCAGGAAGCAAACGGCGACGTAGTTAAGTCATGTGCTCGGTTTTGACGAAAACTGTTATTATCCCGGCGAGAGACATGGAAGAGGAATGCGGCTGACAGACGACGAGACAAGCAAATTTAACATCTCTCGAAAATTAGTGCTTCATTTTCAAAAAAAAAAAGAAAATACAAACCGAACCGTTTTCAAGGAGAAATACCTGGCTTAGATATAAATAACCAAAAGGTGTCTATATGTGTGTGTTTGAAATCGTATGTTTTTCAACGCTTAATGTAAAACGATGCAACAAAACAAGTAGAAAACTAAAACAAATTAACTTTTCAAAATTGATTTAACCTTGAACTGCCCCTTCCAATTTTCGAATTCAATTTCAATCTTTTTTTGTTTTTTTAATTTTTTTTTTCTGTTTGTACATTTCAGTTTATTTTAAGTATCTAAAAACTTGCGTGTGTAGGCGTGATATACGCCGGGCTTATTACTTATTGTTTCGCCCGGGGTCCAAACTTTGAATAACCTTCGAGAGGGGCCTACACACGGCACATTTTTCACCAAATGGAATCCCGAAACGTCTCTTGTCTCGTGAAAAAAAAGAAAATAAAATATTCTTGGGAGGATATCCAAGAACAAGATTTCGGGGATCTTTTATTTCTAAAACAACCGTTTCCTTTTTCTTACCTCGTCCGTTCTTGTAGCATCTATCAGAGAGCTAAAACTCGCCCTACTACCATGTCGACCCAGTTTCGGCTCGTCTGAGCCCGAATATTCACCCCCACGATTCTGAAACCTTGACTGACGGTCGTTTTTGATACATTGAGATAGTGGGATTCCAAACACCAAACCTGCATTACCATCTAAAAAGAAAATGCGTAAGATTAATTTTTTTATTGAAACGATTTTTTTTGGTATTATTACGGTAATTAACGATATGTTCGAACTGAGAATGGTATTTTTCACCGAAAAGTACACAAATACACGCACGGATCGTCTTAAAAATAGCACGAGTGTGTTTATTTCAGGAGGCCAGTGGTTTATATTTAGGCATTATAATAGGAGACCTCGAGCGCTTATTCGGCAAGAGCAGGGAGGATGATCATGAAGAAAATTGATCTAGATATGTAAACTATACACAACATTTATTGTTAGTAGAAAGTGAAATTGAAAAATATTAGAAGGATAGTGATTTCATAATCACTTTTAATTTAACAATCTATGAAAAGTTCATTTCTTGCTGAATCTTTTTTGATTTGTTGAAAAATGTGGTTACTTTTTAATAAATAATTCCGATTTGTAAAATCACGTTTCCATGCGTTGCTGAATAATTTCGATAGCGGCGAATATTGGGCTAACTTATTTCCAAAAAGAGCTTTGATAAAGTTTATGAATTTCAAGTAAACATACTTTTAGAGTTAGGTCATAGTTTCAACGAGATCCAAATTTATGGATCGTTGCAGCACCGCAAGATAGGAAATGTCGTAATTAACTTATGCAACGTTTCTTGTCCATCACATCCATTACAAATGAAGTTATCCGTTAAAAGTGACACTTGAAGTTCAACCAAATGAGGTATTTTTATATTCTCCAGTAAAGATTGCTTGAACGTATAGAAGACGACTACTATTTTGCATTAATCCAAACTCGATCAAATTAAAAAAAAATAAGTTTTACAAAAACATCATTATTCCACCTTTTTATAGTTTTATTATCGATCTAAAAGAAATATAAAGCAAGTCTATTTACACTATTCAAAGGTGACTTGCATTTAAGTGATTTCTGTAGCTTTCAGAAACTTTTGCATCGTTTTCTTGTAGTTTATTGTTTTTCTCACTATTGCCACTTAAGATCCTTTCGATCTTTTGAAAATGTTCGCAACCCTCTTTTCAATTTTCCATATTAGCAAAATTATGTATTAGTATAATGTATATAATTTATTACTGTATTAGCTTATTTCTGTGCAATACATTTTACAACACAAGTATTCGTATTGATGCAACGTCTCGTTCATAGAAGTCTGGGATATAACGGTGAATTTCACACTCAAGAACATGAAAGTGGTTATCAAGGCCCTCTCTTAGATTATCCATATGTTTCATTCTTGATTCTTCAATCTTGTCGGACAGCTGTGCAAATGTGGCTATGTTTTCTAAATTTGAAACGATTTGTTTGAGTTAAATAATTTTCGTGTCGTTAATCTATGATTCAAATAATGTTTGTCTAGGTAATTAAGAGTGTCACATAAACAAGCTAATCTTTGGATTCTAATATCATTGTTAAAATGTACCATAAATTTATGCTTGCCTTTCATTTCTACGAACACTTTTTTCCAATTCGTATAATTATCTAACAATATATCTTGTTCATGGCTAACATAATCATACATTATGACTTTGTATGCCGTTTTGAACAAATGAATTTTGTTTAAAACAATAGATTTCATTTACTTGATAATTGCCGTCCAAAGAGTTGAGGAAGTCTAAAGAGTTAGTTAGCTAACCATGGCTATATGCTTGCAATTAATATCATATAATTTTTCCATTGTAAATCATTATATTTTCACTTGTAATATATTTTAGAGTTCCACAAAACAAAAATTCTTCTTTACTCTTTCTGTGTCTAACGAAAAAGAGTAAGTGGAAACATGCACTAACATCGGTGGGCATGAAAGGTTTCTAAAATTATGTGATAATTTATTTTCACAGCCAATTCATCCCCACCGGATCATCAACTTGCTTTGTAACACATTTACTACCTGGATAAAAATGCTCCAAGTATCTTGAAGAACTAATCTATCGAATCTATCTTCATTCCCACTATCGTTGCTGTTATCAAGCTACAATGCCATTGTTGCCACGTCAATATTCTTCTTATAGGAGGTCTTCCGGTGGTTTGTTTACTCTTGGGAATCCATCATTGAGTATTCTTGGTAATCTTGAGGCTTCCATACGTTCAACATGGTCTTTCGATTCCCGTCTTCTGCGCGTCCATCTCACAATGTCCTGGATATAGTATATTTTCACATCTTTTATTCTAGAGTTCTTATTGCAGTGTAGTCACTTCTTCGAGATTCCTTCGTCGGAATTCTAGTATACCATAAATGTGCAGTGTAGTTCCAAATTCCTTCATAAAGTAAAAGTCCTGTAGCAAGAGTTCTGTAATGTAAATATGTAGTGTTGATTTATGACAGTTTTTCTTGGATTCTGAAATCTATGCAGTATCATTTCAAACTTTTTCTTGTAATTTGGTCAGTATAATTCCAGATTTCGTCATGTAATTTCTAACATTTCGAACCATTATGATATATGTTAGACAAAGGTGTTGCGTTATTAAAATGAAATTTAAGGACTCATAGCATTGTAAAGATTATGTTAATGGGGTTGTTAGAATCATTTACACAATCTTATCACTGAGGCTTGGCTCTTGGCGCTTTTTATGCATTATTTAGGGAGTTAAGGATTGTAACATCGCTTCTATATCAGTATTTTATGTGAGTTTTTTGCCGAATATCTGGTAAGTGCGTAGACACCAACATCTCCCCTTGGCCCCTTTGTCATTTAAACCCTGGTCAGACTTATATGCCTTGAGATGAGTTGTTCATTGTTTATAAATACCCAATAGATCTTCAGATTTCTTACTGATTTCGTTGACGTTCCATTTAAGAAGTTTCATGCTCTGAAATGAAAAATCGTTTAGGTTTACTTCCTATTTCTGATTTCATCCACTATCATCAGTCGATCCAATCCTTAAATAGTTGTGAGCACTATGTGGGTCAACTTTTAGTCTTTGGCGTCTTCATCTTTGGGCAGGTTCCTTCTTTATTGATGATAATTTATTTACATAGAACATTCCTTTTTAATTGCAGATTGATGTTGATTTTTGGTGATCTTCACCAGTATCAATATTGACGCTGTTGAAATGGGATTCTCTTTCCCTGATGATCTTCGTAGACTCTATTGATTTCTTCTTTATCGTTGAGATTTTCATAATTTTTGTTTTCTTTTGCCATTTTATGATCATCAAATAATTGACCAATCTTAAGAAACACAAAATCTATTTGATCTTTTAGACTCAATAACACATCAATCAACTCTCTATAGTTATTTAGCTCCTATAATAAGCACTAAATCAAGTAATATTCATATTTCTTGTTTGACTAAAAGTTATACATTTCAAATAAAAAGAATTGAACGTTTTTTTATGTTTTGCTCGCTATAACACCGTTTTGGTAATAATACTTTGTAAATTAAAGTATTTATAATAAAAAAGTAGTGCAAAAATGCGAATTATTCCTTATGACTTCACGAGGTACACAGAGTAATAATACAAATTCTTGTAGTAAAGTTTTACGAAAGATCTTGGAATTGAAACAGTACAAAGATCTCGTTGGTTTTCAGTTACCACTTTGATGTCGAATTTAAAAGGCTTAAAAGAAGTTTTTGTCCGTGGTTGTCCCCTCAAGAACTCGACGCGGTCCGCATTAAATATACATCAACTTGGTTCAACTGAAAACCGCTGAAAAGGGGACTTTTAAAATACCCGAGTTGCAAATTCGAGTCAAATATTTAATCGTAACGCAAAGATTTTAAGTTAACTAACAAAGTTTTTATAAAATTGTTTTTACCTTTTTCTTTGTCACTTTCTTTTCGACTTGTATCAAAAATGCCTGTTGTTCTAGCCCTTTTTAATAAAGGCCTTTTTGGTTTCGCAGTAACAGTGGTTACGTTATCTGTGAAAAAAAGATTAAATATCATGAATAAATTATAAATACATAATTACGAGTTCGTTGTTCGTTTATAACGGGAAAGTTTTCAATTATAAACTAGTACAAACTTGACATTCGCGGACCGGCTTAACAATAATATCCCATTTATAATATAGCACGAACCCGGCCAAAGCAGGCCGCCTGTTTTCGCTCGTATCTCCTAAATATAGCGGATTAATTTGGCCGATACCTTACCGCCTTGAATATCACGTTCTCTACGTGACATAAAATGTATATCCTCTTTTTGCGTCAATATTAAAGATAACGAAAATAAAATTCTTCTTGAAAAAACGTTTTAAAATGAGATTTAAAAAATTATCATTTTAAACTCGCCTTTTTAACTTAAATCATTAATCATCTTTTCTTTGTAGCCGTTTAAGACTTTTTTTTACTTAAAAGAAATCCCTTAAGGAGACTTTTAATATAAAAAGGATCCCTGATTAATATTCCCTGGTAAATCTTATTAGAGCACCCCTGGAGTCTCAAACAAAAACAAACGCTTTATATACAACGTTGGGATATAATAATCCGGGTGGTCACGTTATTTTCCATTAAAACTTTCCATGTTATAAACATCACGTTTTGATGTCTCATCTAACTCGTTTAGTTATATAAGCTTTTAATGTAACTGATCTACTGACCTGAAGGTAACTTCACGGACACCCCTAAATTTAAAGCTTGTAACTTTGCTAAGGCTACTTTTTGTAGTACTTTTCTTTCAACTTCCGTTAAATGAATCAAGTTTGATTCATTTAATAAAACTTGTTTCCCACTTAGACTATTCCAAATACACGAACCCTGAAACAGAAAATGAATTAAAATTTAATAAATCATAAAAATAATAATGGTAATAAAACGATTAAATATACTCGTCAACCAGCGATATAAACGAACGTCTTTTCCTTTCAAAATAAGATTGAATAACCGCAGCTCAAGTGTGAAATTTGATAAGCTAAGCAGATTCGTGTTCGTGTTAAAGGAGAAAACCCAATAGCTAGTTGTGGCGAACTCTATTTTTGAAAACGATATCAACGTCAACGATCGTATATCTTATATAACGATAACGTTTTGATTTAAAAACCTTTTTCAAAGTTCATATCAAAAATTCGTCAACATTTGTAATGTTTCATTTAATCAACATCAGTTTGACGAAAACTATAAGTGTTTTATGAACTTCAAGAAAACAATCAACTGTAACAGCAGAAGCTTGCCGTAAATAGTCTGTTGTTGGATATTATGCATCGAAAAGTTATAAATAACCGATGCTCATTATACACAGACTTAAGTTGTGTTGAAATGTAAATGCTGTTCAATGTAATTAAAAGTTTCTTATGCAACAGAAAATACCTAATATATAATAATGTTTTTGTACGATAAAAGAATGTTCCCATATCAGATACCAGGCTTATGGGCACACTGCTACGAAGCATTCAAAAGTGAAAAAAGATTGCACACGCAAACTACGTGATGATAAAGAGGTTGGCATCATAAGCCACAATGTATTCGGCCTAGAGAGCAACAAGAAGACTGAAAAGTATAGAACAATACACATTTGCCTTTCTTCATATGGATGATATTCTTGCCAACTTGTATTCTTCTGATGGTGTTGTCAGAAAGAAACCCAAATCATGCTCATGTCTTGGTTTATATCTTCACACCTAAATATGTTTTGGAGTTTTCTATATCTTGGCTGCTCCAGCACCATGAGATAGAATGACGTCACAAGAATTCATGCAATAATTTGATTTTTTTCTTTTCTGTCTTTACAGTGTTTCAATTATTTCTATAAAACTTATTCCTAGATTGTAGTCTTCTTATTATAGGAATCACATTCTAACCAAGAAGGATTTCGAACAGGAAAACTACGTTATTAATTAGTGTGTCAGAATTAAGTTTTGCGTTCAACCTTCTTTAAATCTCTCTCCAGTGCAGAAGCCTTACATAACCAATCCATACTATGGAGACACTGCTTTCTTTGTCAGTGTGGGAGACCAGAAATTGAATTGAACTGTCATTCGAAATAGCTAATCCACACCGAAATGTAGTGGAAGAAAGAACACACGAAAAGACATATCAATTAGCATTCTAGCCATCCTCCTAGCTATCCACACAGTATATGCGTAAATTTTAAACTTGAATGGTTTTAAGTTACTCCTATGTGAGTAGATTCGGTGATTATTCCCATAAAAAGTAATAAATTTGGAGGAATATTTATTTGAAATAAAACAAAATGTGAACTTTTAGCTTTAAAATGATATATTCTATATAATCATAACTATTTTTATTGTTGAGATATTGTAAAATTTAACATGTTTAAAAATTATTAAAGTAATATTGACCGCATTTATTTACTATTATCAGAAAATCTAATAATTTTGGAATAATATTTATTTCAAACAAAGTATAATATAAACTCTTAACTTCAAAGTGATATATTCCACATTATTATAACTATCTTCATTGATGAGATATCGTTAATTTCAAATGTGACGTTTTTGGAAATTATTAAATTAATTTCGACCGAGTTTATTAATTATTATCACAAAATCTAATAATTTTGGAATAATATTTATTTGAAACAAAATAAAATATAAACTTTTGGTTTCAAAATGATATATTCCACATTATTATAACTATCTTTATTGTTGAGATATTGTAAAATTTAAAAATAACATTGTTAGAAATTATTATCTTAATTTCGATTGGATTTATTAATTAATATCACAAGATCTAATAATTTTGGAACAATATTTATTTGAAACAAAATATAATATAAACTTTTAACTTTAAAATGATATTTTCCACATTATTATAACTATCTTCATTGATGAGATATCGTTAATTTCAAATGTGACGTTTTTAGAAATTATTAAATTAATTTCGACGGAGTTTATTAATTATTATCACAAAATCTAATAATTTTGGAATAATATTTATTTGAAACAAAATAAAATATAAACTTTTGGTTTCAAAATGATATATTCCACATTATTATAACTATCTTCATTGATGAGATATCGTTAATTTCAAATGTGACGTTTTTAGAAATTATTAAATTAATTTCGACCGAGTTTATTAATTATTATCACAAAATCTAATAATTTTGGAATAATATTTATTTGAAACAAAATAAAATATAAACTTTTGGTTTCAAAATGATATATTCCACATTATTATAACTATCTTTATTGTTGAGATATCGTAAAATTTAAAAATAACATTTTTAGAAATTATTATCTTAATTTCGATTGGGTTTATTAATTAATATCACAAAATCTAATAATTTTGGAACACTATTTATTTGAAACAAAATATAATATAAACTTTTAACTTCAAAATGATATATCCCACATTATTATAACTAGCTTCATTGATGAGATATTCTAAAATTTAAAAATAACATTTTTAGAAATGATATAATTTAATTAATTTCTAATGGATTTATTAATTATTATCACAAAATCTAACAATTTTGGAACAACATTAATTTGAAACAAAATAAAATTTAAATTTTGGGTTTCAAAATGATATATCCCACATTATCATAACTCTCTTCATTAATGAGATATCGTTAATTTCAAATGTGACGTTTTTAGAAATTGTTAAATTAATTTCAACAGAGTTTATTAATTATTACCACAAAAACTAACAGTTTTGGAATAACATTCATTTGAAACTAAATAAAATATAAACTTTTGGTTTCAAAATGATATATTCCAAATTGTTATAACTATCTTTATTGATGAGATGTCGTAAAATTAAAAAATAACATTTTTAGGAATTATTAACTTAATTTCGACTGGGTCATTAATTATTATCACAGAATCTAACACAATGCACACAGTAAGCAGCTGTCATAATATATAGTGGCATAACAGTAAGTATCGAATGTCTAATAAGTAATTTGATGCAAGTTATTATCCAGGCGCTCCTTACAACAAATTGCTCGCAGCTACTGAAAGAACACCTTATAATCTTAGGTATAATAAAATTAAATTTCTATAGACATATTTGTAATCTTGATGTTGTCACAAATATTCTTTTCAAAGAATATTTCTGTTTCCTATTTAAAAAATAAAGCTATATATTTATATGTTAAGTTATTTATATGTTTAACAGAAATGCTATAAAAATAATTTTTATTTTATCATATTAAAAAATAAAAAAACAATAATACCCAATTCATATTAAGTTCATAAAGTTTACAAGTTTATCAATATTGCAGAATTTGTCGATTTTGCTTAGCTAATAAATACAGTTCATAAACAATAAATAACCGTTAAACTCGGAAGCCAAATTTGCATTACACTTTGATGTTATTCGTGCCTCCGTAAAATCGATGTAGGTCAGCAAAATGTTCGCGAATTTAACCAGCCATGAAATTGTGAACATTATGTACTTAAAATTTTTATTGTACACGTTTAAGTAGCACTAACAAGAAAGTTGCAAAGTGTTTTTATTATACGCGATTTATTTTTCAATTGGAAATAGAATTTTTTATTAAGGCATAAGTAATCATTTTAGATTTACGAAAATTTAATTTACACACAACCTAAATTTGAAAATCTCGTAAAATGTATTAAAATACGACCGACACAAATAGTTTGGACAAGAACATCATAAGTAGGTGTCGGTTAAAAACCGTCTCTGAGGTGCAACGATTTTGTAAATATAGAGTCAGGCCGAAAGTGAATGCAAGAAAATTTAGCGCAAATTGTTTTATAAATATCCCCCTTTCAATAGAAATAGGATTAGGAAAATTAAAATAGACTTCGATATTCAAAATTCGTAAATAGTTTGGAAACGATTTATAAAAGTTTCTCCTTCATGGTTCAACGAGCCTTGTCCCAAAAATCATTCATTTCCGTAATTACACTGATAAATCAATGCGGTGTTCCTCTGGAGATCGTCCAGCAGATATCTTTCATGAACCGATTTGATTGTAGGTTACGAACGACGAAAATACGCGACGATCTTGAACGTTCACAACTTCAAGTACAATGCTTCCGAGATATAAATTTTACAAAAAACATTTTTTACATAAAACAAAAAAATAGACGGCGTCAATTATTAAAACTTGGAAAGGTTAGTAGTTGTTAAATAAAAAAAAATGATTCGAAGCTGCGCCAAAAAGTAATATCTACGCGTGAGTTGCACATAGAATCAAAGTATGACAACTATTTAGAGTCGTTATCGTATTATTGTGGGCGTACCAAATCTCTAAAAATCATTTTTGAAAATCTTTTTGGTTTTTGTATGCAAAGTAATAATTTCTAAAATTCCGCTGCTCGAATTAGAAATTTAATGTTACATTTACGGCCAGTTCAAGTTTCAAACAATTTTGATTGGGTTTTCCGATTTAGAACCACTTCGGTTTTAAGTTATGCCAAAAGTTTCCGCTCCAATAAAGTCACTTTTGAATTTTAATTTCGGTTAATTTTAAGTTTAAACTTTACGGCGAACCGTTGATTAATTAATTTAAACAATAGGGGCGAATTGCGAGCAATAGTTTGAGCGTAAATGTCGAAAACGTGATTTGTTCATCGTAATGATAGGATCGATCAATCGATTTGTTAATAATTAAACTGGAGGCTCGGTGTTTTAAAAAGAGCCAGGTTTTTTTCTTCGTTTACCCACTAAAAATATTTACACTATATTTTTTTGGCAACCATCTCCGACTAACTGGCATTGTAAATAAATTTCCATGTGGATGGGTGAAGATTCAAGCAAAAAAGTTTTTATTTTAAGATCAGATTCTGATTAAAAAAATCTCTATCTACCTACTTTTCTGTGTAGGT